GGGAGGGGGGGAGCGGGGGAAGGGGGGTCCCTCAGCCTGGCCTGCGCCCTCTCGCAGTCCGGGACCCCCTTGAGGGTTGTCTGCCTGCCAGGGGATCGGGCCTAAGCCGGCAGACAAACATCCCTCTCGCAGTCCAGGACCCCTCCTTACCGTCTGCCTGCAGTGGAGGTGGGAGAGGCTCCTGCCATCACCGCTATGCTCACCAGACGTGAGCCCGGCTTCTGGCTGAGCGGCGCTCCCCTGTGGGAGCACATTGACCACCAGGGAGCAGCTCCTGCATTGAGCGTCTGCCCCCTGGTGGTCAGTGGACGTCATAGTGACCGGTCGTTCTGCTGCTCGGTGGATTTGCATATTAGGGTTTTATCATATAGGATAAGAAAACAGAACAGGATGGGAGAAAGAATTTTGAGCCTGGCCAGTGTTACTTAGTTGGTTAGGTATCGTCCAGTGAACCAAGAGGTGCCGGTTTGATTCCTGGTCAGGGCACGTGTCTGGGTTGCAGGCTTGATCCCCAGTAGAGGACGTGCAGAAGGCAGCCCATCAATGTTTCTCTCTCTCTCCCTCTCCCTTCCTCTCTAAAATCAAATTTAATAAGAGAATTTTGAGAGGGCCATGCTTATTATTTCAATACTATAATACAATAAATTGGCATCATACTGTGTATTTGCAGCACTATAGTCATAGGCACACTTTTAAACCAAATGAACTATGGAAAAGTAGTGTTTCTTGTTTCAGATTTCAGACACTAGAATACTTTAGCTAATGTTAGTTCAAGGAGAGCAAGTATGTCAGTGCCGTCCCTTCCTATTTCCAAGCCAGTGGCAGACATCACCGATCAATCCCAGACTCATCGTCCAAGCTCTGAAGTGGTGACAGCACCCCGCTTAGACCTGTGTTCCAAGCTGCCCGTGAGTTGAAGCCTGTCTGCTGTCCTTGGCCTACCTCATTGATATTGAGAAGGAAAGCGCTTCGACCACAAGGAATATTCCAGATAAAACACAGCAGCCGTCTTTCTTTAAAAAGCAAACTCCTTCCTGTTCCTTGGAACTCCCCCAACCCCTGCTTTCCAATGTAGGTCACAACTTTAAGTTAGGGAAAGAAGGTATGAACTGAAGGTGGTGCAACTGGTCAGGACTCAGGAATACACTTTGCCATGGGCTCCCGAAAGGCTCGGGCCTTCCAACAGAGAGAGGGCGTCTGCCCCGACTGCCAGGAAGGGACCTGCGAAGGAGGTCCTTCACCCCCATGAGATACTCACCCAAGCCAGCAAGCTGGGATGAGAGGGAAGGTGGGGGTGCCGTGCTCCCCACCATGGGGCTCACCACGGCGGGAGACCCCGGCCCCAGGTCTATTAAGTTGTCCTCGGTCACTTCACTCAGTACCTGTTGGAGCAGGAGGTGCAGTGAGCCCGTGAGCCCTGGGGCCCTGGCTGAGGTTAAGCCCACAGGCACAGTGTGGTCTCAACGCCGCGCCAATACAGGAGCCAGGGGCCCACTGTGGGCCCGGCACGGGGAGCCCTGCCCACTGCCCCTCAGGATGTGCCTGCTGGCTCTGCCTCAGCAGCCTGTCAACAGTGCGAGCTGCTCATTTCACCAATATTTACATCCAGGTCAAGGAACAGGTGAGACCCCCCCCCCCCCGCCCGAGGCGGCCCTCCCAGCCTCGGAGCCCCGCGGAGGCCCAGGGAGGACTCACCCCGTTACTGGCGTTTTGGACCAAGCGGCCGGACCGGAATCGCTCGAACCTAACGGGAAGGAGAGCCCCGTGAGGGAGGGTGGTGGCACTGTGATGCCCACGGGTCCTGTGAAGAGCTTCTGGGAACCGAGGTTCCAGGAAAGGAGACCAACCAGGCCCACGTTAGGGCTGGGAGAGCGGCCCACACACGCACGTCACACCCCTTCCCCTGTGTGGGCTTCACCCATGGGCCCTGAGGTGAGGGAGCAGGGTGGTGGCTGGCACATCAGGCCATTGTAAGCACCCAGCCGTCCCCTCAGACCCTGGGCTAGGTGCTCCTCCTGTCACTGGAGGGGGAGGTTGGGCCAACCATTTTACGGGCCGAGCCAGGCTAAAGACCTATGTCACAGGGGGCAGGCCCCGGAGGACAGGCACACCCTCTGCCGTGGAAGGGTCCCTGGGGGCCGCGGCCAGGCCACGCCCAGCCTGGGACTTGGCTCGGAGCAGCTACAGAACCCTCCTCTCTTACCCGGGTGGGAGACAAGAGCGATTGTGAGGGGCGAGCGGCTGCATGACATTGAAAAGCTCCCAAACGCCACGGGCAGGGGTAGCTCGGACTCTTTTCAGCTGGACCCGGAGAAGCAGACTTCACTGGGGCCAGCGCCTGTGAGCAGGGATCTCCACGAGGGACACGGTGAGGACGGGGTGCGGAGGGTCTCTCAGGAGGAGTGGAGTCCCTCGGAGTCTCCAGCCCGGAGCCTCTCCCACCACCGGGCTGGGAGGCACCAGGGCTGGCGGCCCCAGGCTCTGACTGAGTCTGTGGTCGGCCGGGACTGGCAGGCTAGCGGAAGTGCCCACACAGCTCCTGCCACCTGTTCTCGAAGGGGCTGAAAGGAGCCTGACAGGTTAAAAGTCAGGCCATTTAAAACTGGGACCACAAGGCAAGACCAAGGGTCAAGGCACTCAGGTTGGCTCCCGTCCCCAACTGGCTCGTCCCTGCTGGCCCAACGCCCTCTGCGGAGGCCGCCTCACCTGTCAGCCGACAGGGCCACCTTCCTTGCTGCCTCAGCTAAAGCTGAGACAAAGCCCAGGGTTGTGACAACCACAGCAAAGCCATCCTCTCAGATCCCAAATGCAAGTATCTGTCACACTGACCGTAACGGGTGCCAGCCCGTCATGCCATGAGTCAGCGAGGGGCCAGGACCCCACGTCTCCAGGTGATTGGGGCTTAAACTGAGAAGAAGGCAGGCCTGGTCGAGGGGCCTGTAGGAGGCGCCCCCGGGAGAGCCCGAGCCACAGGCGGAGCTGCTAGCATTCTCTCTCCTGCACCTGGGCCTGCAGCTGCAGAGGCTGCGCTTTTCCGGAGGCTTTGGAAAGGGAGAAGGACCTGCAAGGTTGTTGCCTCAAACCCGCTGGTGACCCGGCCGCAGGAAGAACTGAGAGAACGCGTGCTCCCTACGCAGCACCCTGCGCTCCTGCCCCGGCCGGACACTCAGACTCCCTGACATTTGCAAAGGAAGGGAAAAACCTCCTTTTTTTAAGATGGAAAAGAGAAAAGTCTTTTTCCTTATGGATACTTTTCCTTTAACCCTTTTCAAGCTCAAAGGGTCTTTAAAGAGGCAGGTGCAGCAGCGGCAGGGCCGGTGCTTGGTGCCCGGTGCCCGGTGCCCGGTGCCGGTCCTTCCCCTCCTGGGGCAGGTGGTGAGGAAGGCAGAGCAGCCAGAGGCTTGCAAAGGGCAGAGCCTCCCAGGAGAATAAGCGCCGTTTCCCTGTCGCCTGGAGCAAATGAGCGTCTCTGGTGGGTAGTTTCCAAATCTAATCTCCCTCCCTCTGTTCCTGAAAGAGACCCGCTTTGGCCACCAGCTTTCCGAGGGGCAGGAAGGAGCCACGCCCACCTCTCGTATCTGAGGAAGACGTTGTTGAGGTCGTCGTTGACGCGCAGCAGCTCCTCGGTGACCTCCTCGTTGCACACGTGCGAGATGAGCTCCACCACGCGCTGCTGCATGGCCCGGCAGGTCCTGTTCAGCTCCTGGGGACACACGCCTGGCTAGCCTGGCTGCGCCTTGGCCACATCTCTCTCCTTTGGGAAAACGTGCCCTGCTCCTCAAGTCGTAAGGGAGTACGTTCTTGTTCATAAAGCCGGGTGTGTGCAGGATGCAAAGTGGAAGCCCTCCCTCACTGCCCCCTTACTCCCAAGCAAACCCGCTCCTGTTCCCTAGACAGACAAATGTCCAGCCCTGCAGACTGCGGGGTGGACACAACTACATGCTGCACAAACCAGTTTTAAAATAGAAGAGAGGATTCTTTGCAGCTGGCTTTTTCTCTTCAACAGAATGTTCCAAACAACTTTCCTGCCACTTCAGTCTCATCCCTGTGTGTGTATTATAACGTATCGCACCGTTCTCCCATTTGGGACACTTAGGTGCGGCCTCTTTCCTGGCCAGCGCAGTGGGTGCAGCAGCAAACACTGTACTCGCCTGCTGTGCGCCCGCACAGGACCACGCCCCACAGCGGAGCTGCTGGCTGACAGGGTGGCCACGTGGAAAACTGACTGGTAACAGGAAAAGACCCTGCTGAACAACGAGATCTGTGTATCTGTACCCGCAGCAATGGCAGGAGCGTTTTATGACCCCATTCGATATCACTGTGGACGGGGGTGAGTGCCCAGGCTTGACCTTGCAGGGAAGAGCAGGGGAGGGACCGTGACAGGTCAGCTCACCACAGAGCAAGCAGACCGTGGCGAAGGAGGCGGGTGCTGCTGGCACATCCAGGCCATTCTCTGCTGGCCACTCTCCCAGGCGGCTCAGCCTGGGGGCTCCTTCCCCGACAGCAGGGGCAGCTGAGGAAAGAAGCCTGGCCCGTGGGGGGCAGCCCAGAAGCACCGTAGCGCAGCTGTATTTTTCAAGACAGAAGTACCTATGTTCGGCAGCTGTGTATAAAAGGCAGCTTCCTGTGGAGAAGCTCTGACGTTGGGGTCCTGGGCCCTGGCTAGCTGGCTACAGCCTCTGTCTCGGTTCTGCCCTGCTGCCAGCCCTCTGCACAGCCGGGATGCTGCTGTCAGTCTTTCTTGGTCAATAGGGACAGAAGAAAGTCCAGTGTCTGGACGTTCTGGGTTTTTCTATGAACAGACTCTCATTCTTGGTTCCCCTAAGACTACCATTTTAGGTTTTTGGAGAAGGCAGGACCATTCCTGGAAAGAGGAGGGCTTTAAGCAAATCACTGGATTCTCATAACCCCCCTCTCCCTACCCCCGGCCTGTACCAGCTGCACCTGGGCCAAACCAGCCCAGGTAGGTAGTACCTTCCCACCAGCAGCACCAGGCTGGGCTGGAGGCGGGAGGAGGACCTTGATCTCAAGTGCTCTGAACCTGCATCAGCCTGCACACTGAGGGTCCTGGGTTCAATTCCAGTCAAGGGTACATGCCCAGGTTTCGGGCTCCATCCCCAGTAGCGGGCCTGCCGGAGGCAGTTGATCAATGATTCTCTCTCATCATTGATGTTTCTACCTCTCTCTCTTCCTTTCTCTCTGAAATCAATCTATACATATAAAAGCCAAGCGACTGGAACAGTGACGCACACTGCAGTGGCCAACAGGCCCGATAGGGGCCCCCATCGGCCCCCCACAACCTCCTGCATCTCCACCCCCTGCCAGCCTGGCCTCGATCAGCCCCCATCAGGGCAGGCTGGCTGGACCCCAACTGTGCACAAATTTGTGCACCAGGCCTCTAGTAAAAATATGTAAAAATAAATAAACAAATAAAATGCTCTGCACCCTGTTCTGCCCAGACCACCAGCTCTCGTCACTGTCCTCGCCCTGTCCCCTGCATTAGCGCCCCAGGCCTCCAGCACTCTCTGGCTTCTGTCTCCCTGGGGAAAACAAGGGGTGCAGAAATGGTGAACCTCTGAGGTGCCTCACAGCAGGGGTTTGGGACACCCACCCTGCAGCAGCCGGGCAGCTCTGCTTTGACCTGTTTTAAACACTCCAGTTCTCTGGAGGACTTGATTTGTGGAGAAGAGTTCCCGGCCCTGACAGAAATGTTTGGGAAGAGGCAGATGGTTTCTGAGGCCTCTGCTAGCTCTCACCCTGGAGCAGGAGGCAGGGATGCCAGAAACACCTGCTTTGGCCTTGCACTTGCTGCCTTGGCCCCACCACCGCCAGGGGATGACAAGGAAGCAGCCCAGACCCCCCAGGAGAGCCTCCCCTCCCCGACCCCAGAGGAGCACCCAGGGAGGCCGGCCCGGGGTCTGAGTCAGAGAGAAAGCTTTACATGTCCATGCTTTAACCTTGTAAGTTACTGTCTTAAAACAAAATTAAACAGGAAGAGAAAAGACAAAGAGCTAGATGGTGAGAGGACTAGAATGTTAAGATTTCTGCCACCACGGCACCAGCTAGCACCGCATGGCCTCCCCGGGGTCACCCACAGCCAGGCTGCGCAGGTGCCGTGGGAGACCTTGCTCTGCCTCCCCTGCCTCCAGCCCTCCGGACAGAGCAGCTCCCGTCCTCACACAGGGAGCCTGCTTGCTCGCTCGCTCGCTCGGGCAGCCTTCCCGCTGCGCAACAGCTGGGACGGAAGTTCTCAAATGGTGACAATCTGGGCTTTGGCCTCCTTCTGGGTCTGGCTCTCAACAGAGAGGGAGAACAGCTGCTTACTGTTCTTTGTGCAAAAGCCCTCACCTATTAGAGCATCTTATTAAAATATCCTCTTTTCTGTCTAATTGGTCCCAATGACTTGATCTTTTCTTCAAGGGCATGCACATCCCCACCTCACAGAACAACCCTTAGGTCCTCGCGCTGGGTGTCCTCCGAACCCCCTCCCAGTCCTGGGGAGCATGGAACAGGGTCCTGAAGACCTGCTCCTAGAGCTGCGGGGGGTGGGGGTGGGTGAAGAAGTTCTTTGTTGAAGAGAAAGGGGAATAATGAAGCTAAATGTGTAGAATAAACCAGATTTCTCCAGAGAAAACGGTCCTGGCCACCCAGTCTTTTGTTGAAATGAGATGCAGAAAGAGGGGAGCGAGAGGGCGATCAATGCCTGCCCCTCCTCTTCGCGGACAGCGTGCAGGAAGGTTCTCTACCATCGGTGCCTGGCCGTAGGAATGCCTTTGTGAGCATCACTGAATTAATTAAAAGTTATTAACTGGAGACAAAGTTCAAAAAGCTAATTTGAAAGAGACAGAAGGCACCAAACGACAGCACCAGGCTCACTAGAGTCCCGAGTGGGGACTCCAGGCCGCAGCGAAGGCGCGGACTCAGCGGTGTGGGTGCAGCCACGCTAGGCCCCACGCAGTGCCCGTGCATGGGGGGGGGGGGGGCGGCAGAGACGGCCAACAGCACAGGAGAAAGAGAGGAGGGTTCTCAGGGGATGGAGCTCTCAACTTCTAATGTCTGTCCCCTGCTGAGAACTGCCTGGCCATCCTCAAGGTGGGCTGCCCACAGCCTCATCTGCACCCCGAGACTGGGGCGCGGCAGTCTCAAGCATTTAAGGTCCTACCGTGTGAATGTGGAATGTGTTTCTGCTGGTGTTAGAGACGGACAGGGCAGCAGGTACAGGGAGACAGGCTGGAGCTCCAGCTTGTGGCCGCCGTGCCTGCGCCTGGCACCGGGCAGCACGCAAACAGGATCCCCATCCTTCCCTGGTGACGGTGATCCCGCCATGCTCCATGGGCCAGGGCCTGTGAGCATCACCAGCTCTTCAGTCCGCGGCTGAGCAGCTGAATGAGTGGCGCCTTCCTGCCCTGCTGTGCTGCTCCCCAAAGTCTGACCAAGGGCTTCCACGGGCTGACCGACAGCTGCTACTGATAAGAACGAGGCGGGAGGGACTCAGCGTAGGTGTGGAGCTGGCTGCTGCCTGGAGGTCTCCCAGCCCAGAGCAGAGGCCCACACACTGAGGAGCTGCTGGGTCCCTCGGCGGCTTACTCTCCCGGGAGCTCCTGAGAGGCTGACAGCGCAGGGGAGTGGAGTGGCCTCCGCCTCCCTCAACCACAGGAACCACCCAAGTCCTCAGGCCCAGCGCTCCCGGGGCTGCTCTGCCCTCCGCAGGGCCGCGGCGAGGCTGCAGCAGAACAGCTGTGACTCCCAGGAAGCGATCGGGACGAAACCCACCCATCATCATGGTCTGTCACACAGTGCATCCAGGGCTGACACCTCCAATTTCCTCTCTTCCCACTTCCTCCGCCTCCACCAGCAGCTCACACTTGAGACTGAGAGGCTTTTGTTGGCGTGAACATTTGGGTTGGTGACAAAAGCGTTTACTTCCATGGCCCTGGCCAGTCCTGTGAGCTCTGACAGCTTCTACTCAGCCATCTGGCTGCCCTCCACTTGCACTAAGGGGTCCTGGGGATGGCCTGATCCTGCCACTTTCCCAGCAGCCTGTGCCGTTTTCCCACATGGAAGGCTCACTGTTTGATCTGACCTCGGCCCTTGGGAGACCCTCCCTGGCTGGCTTCTGATAGATGGGGAGGAAGAGGAGGAGAGATGTCAGGAATGACTGAAGAGTTGGCCGGCAGCCGGGGCCATGTCTGTTCACAGAGCGCCCGACTCCCGAAGCCTCCCGCTGTACCAGAGCCGCTCTTCCCGTTTGATTTAAAGACAGCAGCGAGGCTGGGAGGCTCAGAGTTGGAACAAAACAGAGGGAAGAAAACGTCATGGGAAGCAACCTATTTTTGAAGACTGTGAGCTGACACCGGGAGATTAGGTTCTGTTTGTCTTGGCTCATGGGCTTGTTTTAGAACACACGCACACGCACTGGCACACAGAACATCCCTGCTGTCTGGGTCTGCTCGGCTGTCTGGAGGCAGGCTGGCTTTGTTCAGCCCCCACCCCCGCTGCCAGGAGCTCCGCTCTGTCCACTGCAAGCCCTTGTCAGCAGGAATTCTGATGCTGACACAGCGCAGAGCTACCTCAAGCAGCCCCCTCAGCTTCCGCCGCTTCCGGACTAATCACAGATCCCAGTGCCTCCGGGAATGCCTGGAAGAACCCATCACCCAGGCGGGAGTGGAGGCCAATAGGCAGCAATGGGTGCTGGGTCCCCTGGAGTGTGGCATGTGGACAGCTGGCCCTGCTCAAGGAGGCAAGCCCGGTCTGCCCAGGTCTCAGTGAGGTTGTCTTGCTCGGCTGGCAGAGGGTGCTCATCTTGGCTTCAAGAGCAGCCTGACGCCACAGTTTCGTGGAGATGAGCCGAGTCTCCGGCACTCAGCGGCGAGCTCCTCAGAGCAGGCCTCGGCACAGCATCTCGGTGCCTCTCGGGCTTTGCTCTGTGTTAGGCCCTGAACAGGCTTCCACCCCTGCTCCTCCCCCGGGAGCTGATGGCTTCGAAGGATGAAGGGGGCACAAAAGAGATGGCTGTGTGCATTCCTGAGGACCGGCCATCAGACCGAGCCTCCACGGGCTGCAGGTGTGTGCCAACAGCAGGGGGGACGTGTGGCACTTAGGGGGCCAAGACTGACAGCCTGAGGGCAGACGAGAATAGCAACACGAGGCCTGCCTGGTGCACTCACGCCAGTTCGCCAGGCCCGTCTGGCTCCTGATTTATTTACTCAAGCATCTTGCCTCTCACTGAAAAGATCTGGCACCTGGGAGTCTACAGCACCCTCTCTCCACCCCTTCAGAGGGGCACTGTTTCTAAGGCGGTGCCAGAGCCTGAGACGGGGTGTCTGGCTCTAACACAAGGCCCCCCCCGCAGGCCAGCCCTGCACCCAGACCCCTTTCAGGCACACTGCCAGGTCCACAAGCGTCCAGAGGAGAGGCCAGGTAGTGACAGGGCCGCGGGACCACATGTGAGCAACCTCCGCCTGGGGACGGATGCTCAGTGTCCAGGAGAAGAAAAGGGGCTTCAGCTGCCCCAGGGCCTGGGGGTCTGGGAAAGGTGTGATGAGGAGGGAAGGCTGATGATGTTAAGGGTGCAAAGCAATACACAAAAACCGTACACATAATAACATCATCTCAACCACATTTGAAATAAACATCAAAGCACTGACGATGGCTATTTGTGGATTCGGCATCAGAGAAAATTACTTTCTCCTTTGAACTTCCTTTTTCTTTAGATGAGCATGGATTTTGCAATTGGCATTTTATAATCAGGAAAAAATGTTACTAAGGAAAATAAAAAAGAGAGAGCCTGGTACTGGCCTCTGTCTGTTTCTAGGAAGCATGAGGCTGGGTCTGGGCCCACGTGGACTCGACCCCTCTCTCAACGACTGCATCCCTGGGCCCAGAGCCCCAAGATGAGGCCCCTCACCTGTAGCAACTCCAGATCAGATGAATCTTCCTGCCCAGGAACCATTTCCGTTAACATCTCAGACATGACTTTTGTGTTTCCTCGAACAATGTCCAGTTCGCTCCGCAGCCTGGCGATCTGCTGGGCCCAGAGGAGGGAAGCGGGAGGGAGAGGTTGGTCACCGGTCACCGCGCCTGGCGGGGACGCCGCCCTCACTGGGACCCAGGCCGCACTTCTGAAGGAGTGCAGCAGCAGCACCGTCTTGTCTCCCTCTGGTCTAGAGAGTACTGATGGGGGAGGGGGGCCACCTGGAGAGCCCGGTCACCCGTTGGCCCCGACTCTGCCCAGGACTGGGAGGCAGCACTGGGCAAGGAGAGTGCTCTGGGCCCAGATGACCAAGCTGGTCTGCAGCCCCCGCTTCCCCGCCCTGGGGCAGGGACTCACCCTCAGGCCTCTGCCTCTGCTCTTTCAAGGGAAAGGTGGGGGGAGGGGGGGTGGTCCCCAGTCCCTTCAGCACTGGGATCCCTGCTGAGGAACCGAATAGTTATAGACTCTGGCTCCCAGCAGCTTATCCTCAAAATACTGTCCTTCTGAGAGGCTGGCCAGGTTACGCACACTTTCCTGGTGTGGCAAGAGTGAGGGAGAAGCACTGAGAGAAAACCACAGGGAAGGCCACTCCCTGCCCAAGGATAACGACCCCTTGAAAGCTACCCAACCCGCCCACCCAACAGGGTCTCCAAGCCTGGGCCTGGGCCATCTCTCCTGCAGCAGGAACACCACAGGATGGACCTTAAGCTCCGAGCCTCCGTT